GAATGAAATTATGAAAGGTACGCTAAGGCAGTTATGGAGACACTAAGAAAGGTACTCTATGACTGTAAGAAAAACACTAAGAAAGGTAATCTAAGACTCTAAGGAAGACACTAAAAAAGTACTTTAAGATTGTAAGAAAAACACTAAGATATTTACTCAAAGTCTTTAAGGAAAACTCTAAGAAAGTTACTCTAATACTTTAAGAAAGGCACGAACAAGGGTACCCTAACACTAGGAAATACACTAAGAAAGGTGCTCCAAGAAACTGCGATATATACTCCGATCTAAGAAAAAAAAGAAAGGTACACTGGTTCTAAGAAAGAAACTAAAAGATGTACTCTGACTTTAAGAAAGACACCAAGAAAGGACATGTAAGCCTATAAGAAAGAAACCTATCATTTGAAGAACGAAACTAGGGAAAGAACTAAGAAAGTAAAAAAAAATACTGGAAAACTAAGAAAAAAAACGAAGAAAAAAAACGAAGAAACAATCTTCGAAACGCGGATCATGGATTCTGTAGGTTACGCTGACTTTCATTCCGGCAAATTACTGGCAAACATGAAATAAACTGCGATGTAAATTGACAGAAAACAAAACCGGAAGAATGCTGTCAATCCTGTTCACCACTCATCATGCAATGTCGGTACGAATGAAACGCATCTACTTGAAAGTTGCATCGTTGCAATCATATTCACTCATTAAATAACGACAGTATTAGCAACTGTCAGTCTTTGAAAGACATCTGTAATTAATTTAATCAACGTAACCCTTCAACGCATTCTCTACTTTAAGCTTGTAAATGCAGAGCTCTCACCTATTTTCTTCATTACATTGCAGATATCAAATAATCTCAACGGATCTTGGCTCAGTATAACAGGTGCAGATATTTTTTGATAAATAAACTGAGGACCTTAATGAATTTTGACATCGGATACGAGACACTTCACTATTAATTGCAAGTATCTTTGTAGGCGGCATTATGATATTTGAAGATGATTCATTAATATGCAAAGAGTTGCTCGGATTACTGAACTCATTATTTTTTACTGCTAATGTTTGCTACCACAACGTCTCCTTCGGTAATCCGACAGCCTTTCCGCATATGTACATTTACTATGGAACCATAGGGGCGGGTCTTCATTTATTTCCAGGGACGCTTCGCCAGTAATGTAAATCAGAAAACAGCAATATGGCACGTAATACATTATATGTGATCAGTTATCGAAATCTTTGAAATATACAATTTGGTACGCTTTCCGATCTTCCTAAGGTGCATATATCCTACAGAAAAATAGGGTGATATAATTTTTTTCAGCACTATTACCAGTTGATGTAACGGAGAAAACAAAATCATATTGAGAAAGAAAACAGTACATGAGAAAAATCATCTGAACAGCACTTGAAATACATCCTCCGTTACAGTCTCCGACCTTCATCAGGTACATATGTCCTATGGTCAGCCACTGTTCAAAAATAATGTGCAGCAGAAAAGACTAACATGCTGAGAAAAACAGTGTATTAGATCAATAATACATACAGAACCTTAATGCATTCTACCGGTAAAATCTCCAGTCTTTCTCAGGTGGAAAACATCCTATAGAAAAGATGCATCATTTTTGGTACTGTTCACAATGCAGCAAAGAGAAACATGCTTATAAAAAGAGCATAATTACATCGATCATAGAAGCAGAAGTTGGGATGCACTCTGTGGTAGATTTTCCGACCTTCTTAAAGTGCAAGCATCTTATAAATAGGTGATCTCATTTTGTTAGGTACTGTTCAGAGATGATGTAAGGCAACAAAAAGAAGCATAGTGAAAAGCTGCATATGTGATCAGTAATCTAAAAGCACTTGGAATGAATTCATCGACACAATCTCCAGCCTTCTTCAGGTGGACAATGTCTACGGACTTTAGGCGTAGTATATTTTTCAGGTATAGTTCATGAATACTATAAAGCAGAAAAGAGAAACACGTCAAGAAAAGAAATATATGAAATCAGTAATCTAAGCCCAAAATTGGAATATCTTTCATGGCTAACGTTTCTAATGAATTCTCTAGTTTTATTTTACTGATCTCTTTCTTGTGTTTTATTTTTGTGAGTTATATAAGGTAAAAAGAATTGTTCCGATAATCATGACCAAAGATGGCTTCTTATCTATGACTGGCATAGATTAACTTTCTTTTTGTATGTATTGTCTCCGATTGATTTGTAATATGGCAGAGTTCTTTTTTTTTTCTTTTTTCTTTTTACAAAATGCATACATTAAGAAAAGAAAACGTTGTCATAAAAATAATCAAAATAACTTAACCGACTTCACTTCACACTGTGAAAAAAATTGCGCTAAAAATAGTTTGCTTTAAACAAATGTTTAACTTGTATAATAAAATATTGAATCAGAGTACAAAGAAAAGTCAACACTATCTTTAAAGTGCCGAATATATCTGGACTATGTTAAAAAAAAAAAAAAAAAAAACGAAGAAATTTTCACCATTTTAAAAATGAAATATTTTATCAAGTGTCGAAGAAGTTACATTCTCTTTCTGTAAAACAAATTACTCGATTTATAAGCATTTCAGCAACATCAACCTCTCTCACATCATTTATTCATACTTCTACACTCTGTGTCCATCAGGGATTGATTACGGCTCTCCAAAATTTCCTAATTTTTGTAGCTCTTGCTTTGTCATTCTCTATGCCCCGTCATCTGTTCTATCATCCTGTTACACAAGCTTATTAGGGAGGTTGCTCATTGAATCTCTCTCTGTTCCTCTTGCCTTCAATACGTACTGTGAGTGTCAAATTCTCTAAGCCTTTTTCCTCATAATGTGTACTAGAAATGTTAATTATCTGTTTCTTATTGTACATATAAGCATCCTATTTGATTCCATAATACTAACAGATTATCTACAATATTTACTTGGGAAATCAATATAAGTATGAATGTATGCGCTACAAGGTCAAAAAGTGAATATCCTTTATCCGTCATTAAGTTATTTAAATAAGAGAAGGGATACTCTGACGCAACACCTTCAGCTCACTAGGAATCGATGGTGTCAACTTGCTCTTCTTAGCCGATTATTGCTTTTGATACTCAGACAGTGTTTTTGAACCAGTGTACTGTCTTTTCCTACTATCAAAAGAGTAAAATGTTATTGATAGAAACGGGTATGCCCGAGAACCATTTCAGATCAATTACGGGATGTTGCTGCCACTACAAATACAACTTATCAATGTAGAACTTGCGGCAAACGTTGTGAGTCATTGGCTGGGCAGAAATCAGTATTCGATAACAGAACCATTAAAAACGTTCTTGATTAATTTTGCACGATGGTCATAGAGTATTATGTGGGAGAAGCCAGATGTGTGTGTGCATATATATATATATATATATATATATATATATATATATATATATATATATATATATATATCCGATGCGATGAGAACGAAAGTAATATATAAGTCCCAACGTTCACAGCATTAATCCAAAAGACGGCTCGATACCGATATTAGGGCGATAATTATTCATTTATTATAATTTTATCCTATAGACAAAACGATTTTCGATTCTTACCCGTCGAAGTCCAGTATAAATGCCCTGAAACCAAGTTGCATCTTTGTAGTGAGTAAAATGGTTTTGGTTTATATTATAAAATTATAAATATATATATATATATATATATATATATATATATATATATATATATATATATATATATATATAATCAAGAATTATATATATATATATATATATATATATATATATATATACACGCAAGAATTGTATATATGGGGAATAGTTCAGACTTCATGTAGATTGTAGATTATTATGGCGGATAACAAGTAAAAATGTGTTGCTTTGGTGTAAGTAATATTGTGGTATGTTTGAGTCAGTAATTGTGGTTAGCCAAGTTTAATTATAACACAGAAGAAATTCTTCCTTTCCCCATCCCTCTTTGGTCTTTTGCCACATTTTTGTTTTTATTACAAAATAAATATCGCTCTTCGTTATGGTACATAGACTTTTTGAATTTAAGCGCAGTACTAGATATGCAACGAGGTCTCATAAATTTACTGTTAAGTTGCCAAGATATAACTCTAAATTCTATGCTAACAGTTTATTTTCCCTATACACATATAAATGTATATATCTAACTTTGCTAGCACAAAGTCACAAGTCATCGTGACCGTGAGGTCTAGCTTATTGATCTTGTTTAGCTATTAAACAGACGGGATTAAACGCACTCTCCAATTGTAACTAACGTCCGCTCAGCATTTTTCTTTTTCATGTGCGTTGTCTTTACAGGAAGTAGACAATCATGGTTCTTCAAAACATTCTGTCCTTTTAAGCTCTTAATAAATGTTGTATTTCTGTTATTTCTCGTAAACCATTTCCGCGAGCTATTTACTCAATTCATTAAGTACATTATGTATTTTTCCTCCATCCCTCTTGCCTTCAACCTGTCCTGTGAGTATCAGATTTTCCAAGCCCTATTTCCTCAGTATATATCTCAGAAACCCCAACTGTCTGATGTTGAGTTTAAGTTTACTTTTTGTTTCCATTTTCTATTCACCTTCGTCGTTGATCACATGTTCGGTCCATAGTTTCCTCAGCATCCTTCTCTAGAACCAATTTCTAATGTTTCAGGTCTCATCTTCATCTGTTCAAACACATACACCACAGTTTCAGCTGGAATTTTAACTCGATTTAATAATTCCACAACAAGACGATAAACACGGCGCGTATATCCTAAATCAAATATAGTGGTCCAAAAATTTTTGTCCTGGGTAAGACGTTAAACTACATCCACGTCCCGAGTAAGGCAATAAACTACATCCAGCAGCAAGACAAGTGTACTATTCTTCACTGAATTACTACCACATCTGATCTGGTGTCCCTGAAATATATCAAGACAAAATCTAGTCTGCAATATCCTGATCTGGCATCATTGTTTCATCCAGTTTCACGAATGTGGCAGATTGATGGGTTCGTAGATACTATACGGCCCATGTAGCTGCATCTACTGACGGCCTCGTAGACGACTGACACCCACCGAGGAAAGCCTTCGCGCATGAGGACAGTCGGATTGCGCCCAGAGTGTCGCCACGCAGTCCTCGGACTTTGAGCTTTTCATCATGACCGCTTACAAACGCGACGTAACTGACAGCATCGTAGACGACCGCCACATACTGACGACGGCGATCGCGCACGGGGACAATCGGATTGCGCGCAGGGAGTCGCCAAGCAGTTCTCGGACTTCGAGCTTTTCGGCTTGACCGCTTACCAACGCGACAGATTGCAAATATTGCCGTCCAATTTTAGAACCAAGATAGACGTATTAAAAGCAAGAAATCCTTAGAGATATATCAGATGGAAACACTGTTTCTCGTCCGATCCCCAAAGTTTAAAATTGCCATTGTTGACCAATACCTAGATGGGTCATCGCTAGGGAATACTAAGTGCTGTAAATATTGGTGTGCGTGTGGTGTAAAGGATAAAGTTTCGAAATTTTTAATCGGAGAGTCGGGTTTGAATACCAATCGGGATAGTTAGATTCAATAACAGGCAGATAACACTTAAGACACTAATAATCTAAAAGAGACGTTATCACGCCAATCGTATCACAACCATCCCCACCAAACGCATTGGACCATTGCGTAACACAACCCATCCGTCCCGATTAACGGAATCTGCCGAAGGTGTACGTCCAACAAAGTAACTTGAAAGGCTGAGTAGCATAAGAAATAATATATAGGCGAATTAATAATATATATATATATATATATATATCTAACATGTACTTCTTTATAAGACATAAAATATTTGCGTCTAAGGACTTTTTCAAATTAGATGAAATATTAATTTTAACGCATCCAAAACAAGACAACTTTCATTTAACTAACATAGAGAACCCGTCATCTGCATGGCTGACGCTAAACTCCAGGAAAGCAACACACTAAACCTTCTCGCCATCGTGTTTTCCACTGACTTGAACTGGAGCAAATACAGCGAATCAATAGTTGCATCTACTGCAAGGAAGGTTGTGCCATTGTGTCGTACCAGAAATTTCCTTCGTTAGAAAATAACTTGTACATTTACAAAGTCTACCATTCGTCCGTGTTTTGAATAATGCTGCCATATCAGGTCTGGTGATTTTGCCTTATATCTTGAGATATTTCAAAAAGTTCAAAGATGGATTTGTAATGTAATTGATCCTGACCAGTCATCTCGATTTCAGTCACATTCTCACTGATGTAACGTAGCTTCCCCCTCTGTCTTTTCTACAAAAGTTTTCATGGGAACGCCTCTGATGATCTCTTTTCCCTGGTGCACCGACTACATATATTTAACTCTTCTACTAGACTGGCATCCAGGTACTTATATTTGCATCTATGTCCCACGCGTTAACTGTTGAAATAGCTAAATGAAACCGCCTACTGCAACAGTTTACTTTCTAGCACTTCCCGCCTGTCGAACTCACTTCCATTTACTTGCTTCACTGATAACTGCAATCTACAAAATTTTAAATGCAATATCAATCGACATCATCTGTTTTCTTGAATCACGTTCACCTGTTGATCTTTCCTCAATCCTCCATATTCTCATTCTTCTCTTTCAATTTCACTCGCTATAATCCCCCCCACCCCTGCAGACTAGTGGCATTCCGGATCGCTTGGGGGGGGTGAAATCGTTTATATATACATATAAATATATATATATATATATATATATATGTGTGTGTGTGTGTGTGTGTGTGTGTGTGTTTGTATGTTTGTATGTGCTGTTTGTGTTTGTGTGCGTGTGTGCATGTATAAGTGTGTGTTGTTTTATTCTAGCGTATATGTATATATGCGTGTGTCTTAATTCATGCGTATGTGTGTATGTGTGCCTTTACTAATGCGTATCGATGTATATGTGTGCCTTTACTAATGCCTATCTCTGTGTTTGTGTGCCTTTACTAATGCGTATCTGTGTATATTTATGTATGACTTTATTCATGCGTATATGTGTATGTATGTGTGTTTGTCTTTATTCATGCGTATTTGTGCATGTATATCTGTACGTGTTTCATGTGTATATGTGTATATCTGTTTGCGTGTATGCATGTCTGTGCACGGAAACAAACAAGAATATCTTTTTGTCTTATAGAAGATGAATATTTATTTATGAGTAGCCGCAATAAGTATTGAAGTAAACCCGAATAAATATCGTCTGTTTCCCATGCAAAAGTTATAAATACCAAAAATTGGTGATATATCTACTGTTATTCATTTCACAAATTCTCCCTTTAACTTTGTATTTATTCAGTAATATAAAGAATATACCGAAGGCTAACCCCATTTCGTAGAGTATCATCGATGCGCATCAAATACGATGCAAGACCCAGGCCGTGCACAATGACCACAAATTTGATGCTCAGAATTAAACATAATGTATTTTTCGGCTTGTCATTTTTTTTTATATTTCGCTAAAAGAGATCTTTCACTAGATTATATCAGGAAATGACATTTTATTTTATGTATTCGTGAAGAACAACAAATTGTTATTTTATTTTATTCTTTATCATTCTCTTCTGGAGATAATCAAATTTGTATCATTCTATCTATCTATTTCGATATCGATCTTCGAACAAGCGTTACTTAATAGTCAAGAAATTTATGAGTAGTTTTCGTCAGACTGCAAATGAGGATGACATAAAACGTAAATTGACAGAAATCATCCATTTTATCTTGCATCACTCGACACTCTGAGGCTTCTACTTAATTTAGAGTTAGTCCATGTTTATATATATATATATATATATATATATATATATATATATATATATATATATAGATAGATAGATAGATAGATATATAGATATATATATATATATATATATAGATATAGTGAGAGGGCACTACGACGTGGTGTAATGCAGGTTGTGGCAAAATGTTATGACGCGTATTTTTATTTTTATATTTTAAAATATATATATATATATATATATATATATATATATATATATTGTGTGTGTGTATTTAGGCAGAATATTTTCATGCATGTTTCATTAAATAATATAGACAAATTTTGTCTATTCATTTCAAGATAATCCATTTCATATTGTCTGATAAGCTTAATAACATTATCATTGAAAGATGAAAGAAAATCACCATATTGATACATGTTTTGTCCGTGTATTTTTTAATATATTGAAATGTAATTGTCATCTTTGACAATGGCTTATGTAAGCCGAAAGCTTAGATACGATTAAAAAAAAAACATGTATCAATATGGTGATTTTCTTTCATCTATCAATGATAATGTTATTAAGCTTATCAGACAATATGAAAGTGATTTATTTAAAATAGACAAAACTTGTTTATATTATTTAATGAAATATACATCAATGTATGTATATAAGTATATATGAGCAAAAATTCACTTACACTGAAAAAAAAAACACACAAAAAAGCACGTGAACTTAGAACCTTGAAATCTAAAACTCTGCATAAGGAGTAAAAACGGACATTTGAAATGTTTTGAATTTACAGAAACATTTAAAAATACTCACAGGCAATTTATCTCGTTGAAGATGGTCTCAGATGAGATTGAACGTACTTCGGAAATCAAAAATTATTAGAAAGAAAACGTTTGTATTTTTCCGAATCAGTTTTCTAAGTGAATACTTGAACTTGAAAGGATCAAAATGAAAACTAATAGACGTGGTATGACTAAATGATTTAACCAAATCTGTTTGAATGGAAAAAATAAACTCCCTAAATATACACAATATATATATATATATATATATATATATATATATATATATATATATAATTATTTATTTAAAATATGATTTCAGGAGCGACAAAGTGGTCTCAAGTTTCAAAAACAAGAGTTGAAAACTTCAATATAATTATTTGAATTCAAATAATTATATTGAAGTTTTGGGCTCTTGTTTTGAAACATGAGACCTCTTATGTCGCGAGTTGGAATCATGTTTTTAAATAAATAATTATATTTATTTCTCCTTTTTGTATCGAGCACTATTTTTAAAAATAATAACTAAAATACTAAGGAATTTTGGATTATTTACCTAACCAGTTCCTTTCTATTTTCTATATATTTTGACATATATATATATATATATATATATATATATATATATATATATATATATATATATATGGAGAGAGAGAGAGAGAGAGAGAGAGATCCATGCCACTAAGTTGGCGTTAAAGCATGAATGACAGTGTCACCATCAGTGTTGACCTTATCCACTTTACATTTACATACGCTCTCTCACTGATATTGACATATAAATATAGCATACACGCCTCACGACTATATATATATATATATATATATATAGGCTATATATATAGGCTATATATATATATATATATATATATATATATATATATATATATATATATAGGCTATATATATAGGCTATATATATATATATATATATAGGCTATATATATATATATTATATATATATATACTATATATATAGATTATATATATATATAGATATATATATATATATATATATATATATATATCTCTCTCTCTCAATCATCTATCTATCTATCTATCTATCTATCTATCTATATATATATATATATATATATATATATATATATATATATATATATGAAAGTGCTCTTTACAATATTTCGTAGAATGTGTCACAGAAAATTATTTTAATGAATAAAGAACATTTTCAATTTTTGGTCTTTTTGTGTTAATAATCTTTAAGGTTTTATTTTACTCATAATTATACAGTGATTTCTTATTCCTCGTTAGTACTTGAGGAAATATATTATCTTTCAAATTCATGAAAAAAAAAAAAAAAACACTGATATATCGATATATTCCCCCAAGAATCTTACATATTTATCGAACATATGTATTTTGGCTCGGATATCCGTTCGAGATAAATAAATACTTGGAATGCGAAGATGTATATTTCACCGGTGAAATTTACATCTTCGCATCACAGCGAAGCCAAATGACACCAAAACATCGAAAACTTTTAGTTGATATATAACGCCTGAACAGCTGACCAAAGGAGATGTTCGAGAGAAATCCACACCTACTCAGACGCAAATTAGTTTATTTCCTGTCGCACGAATTATGTGTCATTTCCCTTTGAAGCATGATGAATAAAAATCATACATACCTGGCACAGGAGCACATATTCTCCGCCAAGTCATAAATTTAATAGCGCGAGTTGTGTGCTGCCATCTTTTCAGTAGGGCCACCCCATTGCACTCAGATTGGAGAGTGT